AAAGAGTGAAACAAGCCTTGCATACCCAAGGTCCCTTGGACATGAATACGTTACCCCTCAGCAACTTGTCATACAGGAAAGATGAGCAAGGAATGAATTTTCCCTTCTTTTAGTGGTGTTATAATAGGATCATGGCAGCTTGGGGGAGGAGGTGGAGATGTAATCTCCTTAGCACTACAACTTTGCTTGCAGCCTTGGCTGCCAGGGTTAATCAGCATTGCTCTCGTTTCCACACACACCAACTCTGCAGCTTTAACCAATTTAATTTAGTGCAGTTTTATCCTGTCTTTTCTCCAAAGAACTCATGGCAACATACATACTTTCCTACTCCATTTTGATCATCACGAGAACCTTGTGAAACAAAGTAGACAGTTTGACTGGCCCAAGGTCACTTAGGGAGCTTTCATGACTGAGTACGGATTTGTACCTAGATCCCAGAGCAATGTTATAACTGGGCTTTTTTAACATGAGACGCTTGCACCTGTTGAACTCCTGCCTCATCACTACCGTGCCTACGTAATGCAGTGTTCCCTCCAAGCTGAGTTAGTGTGAGCTGGCTCACAGTTTTTTTAGCCTCCAGCTCACACATTTTTGTCTCAGCTCAGGAAGGATGGCTCCAGAGCAAACTAATTTATGCAGTAGCCAAATGGTTTGCTCACAACTTTAATGCCAGTAGCTCATAAAGTAGAATCTTTGCTCACAAGACTCCACGGCTTAGAGGGGACGTTAAAGCAGTAGAAAAGGAGGAGGAGGAGACGAAAGCTTGGCCATTTTAGAAAAAGTGAAGTTGAAAGTGAGACAGGAAGATCTCCACCAGATGAGGGAAACGTCCTTTCCAGTTTGGTGTAGTGGTTAAGTGTGTGGACTCTAATCTGGGAGAACCGGGTTTGATTCCCCACTCCTCCACTTGCCCCTGCTGGATGACCTTGGGCAAGCCATAGTTCTGGCACAGCTGTCCTTGAGAAAGAGCAGTTTCTGTCAAGAGCTCTCTCAGCCCCACCTACCTCACAGGGTATCTGTTGTGGGGAGGGGAAGGGAAAGAAGACTGTAAGCCGCTCTGAGACTCCTTCGGGTAGTGAAGGGCGGGGTATATATCCAATCTCTTCTCTTCTTCCTCCTCCGTAAAGAATCAAGGTTTCCTGGCCTTAGAGAAAAACAGGAGGCAACAACTTAGGTTTTAAGACAAGGGGGAAGGAACAGGGGAAGGAAGGAGGCGAAGATAGTGGGGGGGGGCAGGGGGGGCAAAACGTCCCTAACAAAATGA